ACAACTTACAATAAAATATCTTGCCATCGGTACTAAACACTTTTTCACCAAACTCCTGTACAAAACTACGCAACTTTGCGCTCCTTGAACTACATGTACTCACTTTAGGCATTGTAAAGTCAAACTGAAGTCTTATAACGCCCTCCACATATATAAATAGAATACTTCTAAGCCCTCCAAGAAAGAATGGGATGTATATACCTTATAGTAAGACTGAGTACAATAGGAGAATACCCGTTACACTTGCCTCCCTCCTGCCTCGACTGGGAAAGGCCGGCTTGCCAGGTCATAAATGCTGCATTTCACAAATTTTCGCCTTTGTAACTGCAAGTACAGTACAGTCAAAAATATGGTTTTTAATACGAACTTCATGTACTTGAACTCTATTCCACATAGAAGCAACAGTCCAGCCTGAAATTTATTTTGTAATACTAAACATTATGGAGCCGAAATTTTACATTATATCAAAGAATTGCTTCTAAAATGACAAAAATATGACTTTATTTCAAACTTATGCAAAAATATGCTGTAAAACCAATAAAACTCTAAAATATGCATTTATATGCACAATAAAAACGACATAATTTCAATAAGAATGACTGGAAACATGCATAATTACAATTAAAAATAGGAATAAACCCTAGGAAAAAAATATGACGTGTCATAGAAATCCGGGCCCTAATTATAAAATTATTATATTGTTATTTTATTATCATTAAACAGAAATCAACTCGTGCATTTATTAGCAATTAATGAACTTCAATTCAATGTATAGTGTAGAAAACACATTTCTATTAGTATTAAAGTAAATACAGTAATCTACTCATATCTTCAATGTGATACTTTCGCCTGCGTAGCTGCACACAGGGGACTGATCCGTGGTGGAATCATTGACAGTGCAAGTCTCATTTCTTCATTGACGGATTTAAGCCGCTCCCTCATTGATGTCTTAATTTCAGCTAACGTCGAGAAGCCCAGTTCACACAAATATGTAGTTGAAAATGACAATAACATATTAACCGCCAACTCGGAGATAGCCGGGTATCCACTCCTTATTGCCAACCAAAACGTATCCAAAGACACTTCGAGATGTTTTAGTTTCAATGTTCTGCTTTTAAGTCGGCGAGTTTCTCTTGTATATTAATCGGAAGATGCTCTGAATTCACAACAAATGGATCACGAACCCAGTCGAAATCTTGTACACTCCCCCCAAAATACTTATTGAATTTCTGCTGCAGCATTTCTAAATGTTCTTTAATTGTGTCCGTCACCACTTTATTGCCGTCAGCAAGTGGCCATACAGTCGGGGACATCTCAAACGACCCATCTGTAATTCTCTAACTAGCAAACAAAATTTGCGAACTACTTCAGAGCACAGCTGTGCTAGAACTGAAACAATTGTAAAATGCGGGATTTCTACTCTTCAAACGGAAGTAGTGACACTATACCGACATATTTTTTAAATATTGGGTTTTCGGACTTTATCCATCGTCCTGGTTTTCAAGATAACTAAGAAAAACACGACGTTTCGGAAACTGGATCTGTTTGCGTCCTCAGGTGAGGGAAAACATATATTCCGTTGGGTCCCTTAGAAAGAGCTAACCTTAATCACTGGACAAACGATGTCACAAAACACAAAGGTTACAAACACCTGAGACCAGGCTAAATCCATGAGAACTAATAAGAAAAATATACATGACAAATTGTTCCAAACACATACAAGATGGAACCAGGATAGATAGAGCCGTAAAAATTTATGTCACGAAACCAAACTAATAACCAGGTCCATGACCCCAAGGCATGGAATAGAAAGGAGAATCAGTAAAAACCTTATAGTGTCTAACTAGCGTCAACAATGGCGTAAATCACGTCTATCTAATTTAGAACCCAATAGAAATCAATAAAAACATATATCACGTCATACAAATCTTCTATGTGAATTGGTGACTTCATTGCTGATAATGGGGATCCAAACGGGAGAAAAGTCCTAATTTGGTTGGCCGAGCATGCCATATGGGCCACTTCCTTGTATTTCCTATACCTGATGTGGCTTTCAATATCCAAAATCTTAGCTTCATCCCAGCCTACCCTATGTCCCTCTTCATACGCATGTTGAGCTAGTTTAGATTTTTCTAGAAGACTTTCTCTGAGGTTATGCCTATGTTCCCGGAGCAGCATGGCCAGAGGTCTGCCTGTTTCGCCAAAGTAGATTCTGCCACATTCACAGGGAATGCTATAGACGTACTGTTCCTTCTGTTGCGTATCTCTTTTCGGTCTGGTTTTCATAAGGGAGTTCCTAAGAGTGGGTTTCGTAAGGAAGATGGTCCTAATATTATATCGATTACATATCCGTTTAAACTTTTCAGAAACACCCTTCACAGCAAGGGCAGTAGTCGTTCGAAGAAAGAGAAAACCCTCTGTGTTCTGTATATAACCCATATGTGAAGGGTGTTTCTGAAAAGTTTAAACAGAGGCTAAGAAAATTGTAACAAGAAACCAGGGATCCAGCGTGTAAAACGGCAGTCAATTGGGTCACAAAATCAATCAGGCGAATGACCCGTAAAAAGGCACTTGAACACTGGGAAACAAAATTAGGTAACGCTGAAGTCACATCTCAGGCTCTATGCTCCATTGCGATATCCCTCTTAAAGAGGGATAAACCAAGGCTATTTATGGTGCTTCAGGCTAA